CTTAGATGTATGATTCTTTTCAGTTTTTGGTACTGGATTGAAGCAGCATAGGCACCATTCCCTTGCTTCTAGTCGCCTGGGGGTCCATTTAAGCAGGCCACGGTTCTACGGTATTTGAGCACCTGCAGTGCATGGATGCAGAACCGCATTACTAGGCAGGGTCGAACAAGAGCCTGTTCGGACAACTAAAAATATGCCACGATCCGCAGGTACACTAATACACAAAAATAAAATACAATCGTCCGAAGAGGTCTTTGCTCAGCCCTGCCTAGTGATGCGGTTCTGCATCCCATGCACTGTGGGTGCTCAAATACCATGGAGCCGTGGCTTGCATAAATGGTCCGTCTGGCGACTAGAAGCAAGGGACGGTGCTTACGCCGCCTCAATCCGGTATCAAAAACGAAAAAGGCTTTCGATGAATATAAAACGTATCTGTTAAAATGTCAAATCCACGTTTTAGTCAGGCCTCACTATGCCTGATTGCTCAACATGATGTTTCGCGTTAACATCAAAGTGTTCAGCTAGTCACCACTTAAATCTTGAGTGTCTTTTAGACCTAACTAGCCGAAGGCTGGTAGTTATATTTGCTCTTCTCAGTGGTTTCTTGAATATACTTGGTGCTTGATTAGTTTCTCCGTAGTGTTTAGTTTTTATGAAATATTTTATTGCATGATATGAAACATTCGTTTGAAACAAATATGAAATATTTGTTTCAAATATGACCTTTCTATTTGTCTTTTATTGAATAATGCCTACTGCGACTTTGCATTTAGCAATTTTACGAAACGCAGACTTCTGTGACCGGATTTGATGACTCATGGTTTCGGGGTATTTTTTGTCGGCCTTCGCCCGAAAGCGAACACACCTTTGGCAGTGCGCTGAATTCGTATTATACAGCCTCTGAGTTCGACGAGGAATCTGTTTTGAACTCATCTAAACTGTCGTTTTCACCGCGCGCTGATGGTTTCCGTCTGGCAAAGGTGCTCAGTTGCCCAGACTTGCGTCGATTTGCCGCAGCTTCCGACATATCAGTTTCACCGCCTACCAATGAAAATGCCGAACCCGTTGCTTTGTCTTCCAATTGTTCGCTGCCCGTCGACTGAACCAGCATACGGCGAAATGTTTTGCAGCTTATAATTAATTGCCGTAAAAATGCAACTTAATCTTTTGTAAGAATGCTGGACTCAGTGTGTGCCTTCGCTTGCGTGCCATTTGTGTTTCCTTAAGGTAATTATGCTAACGTCATCTTTTATTATTTTGTAATTTTTTTTCATTTTAGCGCCCGTTTCTGTGCTGAGTGTTGAAGCGAGAAGGCTGATGTGGTAAACAAATTTCAATTCAGCTGCCTTCCATTGAAATTCGCGTTTTCTATATTTACTTGAAATTCGTATTTTAAGGAAAATCTATTTTTTGAAAGCAAACTGTAATATCCGTTCTGTATTCTTTTGCCATTTTACCCTTGTTTTGCCATTCATTATTTTATATGAACTTTTTCTGTTGACATTTTTGACTGTTGATAATTTAATGGCTCTCGTAACTAGGTTGTGCCTATGTGATGTAACGTTTACTCTGAATGATTGTGGTTATTTGTTACGATTACGCTTGATTTGTGTGAAAATGTGTTGTTTCTGTGCTATAAAATTGTCTACATTTCACGAGCTCTCTTGAAAATTATCTAATTGTAACTGCTGCGCTACGAATGTTATAATCAGAGGCAGGTTCCCTGCTTGTGGCCTCAGTGAGAGCAAGGCTTCTCCATTGAAATATGTAAGAAAGTTTGTAATTTAATTAACTACGCAAAACGAATTTTCATCTATTTCGTTCAAATGCGTCTGGTGTTGTTGTGACGCATGCGGAATTTATCGCTGATCATTTGATCCAGTGAATGACGAAGTTTGCGTAGAACAGTTATGGGGATGCAGCCCTGACGGAATTCAGAAACTGTCAGAACAGTTCTCTGTAAGCCAGGACTCTTGCTTGTATGTACTATGCCTTAAATAGGTTCACAAATTTCTGGGTGAATGCCATCCGTCTCCATATTGCGCCACATGCCGTGTCGATGAATAAAATTGAAAGCGGCGTAGAAGCCTGAAACCGGTCGAGTTCTGGAAACGATTGCAATGGTCTAGAGTGCGACAGTTGTACGAATTTTATTACTGACCATCTTCCAGCGCGAAATCTACTTTAATCTTATGTTAGGGATGGATAGCTTGAAACCGTTAGATCAATAATCTGGCTAAGATTTTCTTAGCTACATCAATGCTTATTTCAACAGCTTTTGTCTCCCTTTTCGAAGAACAGGAGCAGTAGCGCGTCACTCCAATTTTGAGGCCCCGCTCTGCAGACCAAACGCGATAAACCAGTTCCTGCTAGTACACAACAATTTCTGGCACGTTTTCTTGATATAGTTTTTGCTCACATGCCATCTTTACGATTGTATCATTTAGCTTCAACAGTTTGAAAGTGGCATGTATCTCCCAGTTAATGGAGGTCCACAGAAAGATGGGCCTAGCTCGCGAACAACCTCCACTTGTTGGAGTGAGGATTTTAAATGTGGGTAGTTGAGGAGTGTGTCGAGATGAATTATCCACCGAGAAAAGCGAACCGCGAGATTTCGTGTCAATTCACGGGGGTGACCCATACGAATTCAATGAATATATTGTCCGACCGCGCTGAATTTCGAAAGAGTTGATACAACCCTTTTGTTACCTACGCCAACCGTCTGCAACATTGCATTAGCTATTTCCTACCACGCGTACTCATCTGCCCGGATCTCGACATTTACCCTCATAGAGAAAGGAAGTCAACCCTTCTTTGGACACGAACTTAAACGAGTAATAACTCATGTCGGTCTGTGCGTGCTGTGAATTTATTGTTTATTACGTTCTTCATGTGGTTAAACAAGTTGGCAGCCGAATGATGTAGGTCGCCTGTTCCAATGACGATCATCTTTCTTCAAGAGTATCGCATGTTTGGGCCATGACTGCACATAGACGATCTAGCATGTTCTCCTGAAACACCTAGCAGTACCTCCATCTTCATCTTCCATCGCCGATTCTCCTTTCGGGTCGCGGAGACAGGCACGTCAGAGACAGCCACCAACGTTCCCGATTCTGTGTCGGAGTCTCAGCTTCGGCAAAAGACAAATGGAGTCCGGAACAGACTCCTTCCATATATTTGCACCAGGTTAATCTTTGCCGTCCCTTGGGAGTTCTCCCGGTCGGATTTTCAAGGAACAACTGCTTAGCCTTCCTTTCTGGAGGCATTCCTAACACATTCCCGAGCCATCGCAGCTGACTTCTCAATCTGGAGAAGTAAAGGCTGTATACCAAGGTTCTTCCGGATGTCACTATTCCGGACAATGTCGAGACGCGTAAGGCCCGCGATTCATCTAAGAAAGCCCATTTCAGAAGCTTACACAAGGGTTCGAAGTTTCTCAGTGATGGTCCACGATTCATGACCGTAGGCAAGCATGGGATAACGATCGGCTTGAGCACCGAGAGCTTAGTTTTCAGACTGAGCTCTGCTTTAGTAACCATCGGTCGGCCTAGTTCACGCAGAACGCCACTGGCTATTCCAATTGGTCGGTCCATCCCTTACTCCAATTTTCCATCACTAGTAAATACAGTTCCGAAGTACTTGAACTTCTCCACCTGCTCCACTGCCTCTCCGTTAATCTGAAGAGAGCAACGGCCAGGTGACCGAGAAAGCACCAGGCTTTTCGTTTTAGATGCGTTCACACGCATGCCGGTCACGTCGCACTCGGCTGCAAACCTTCCTAACGAGCACTGGAGATCAATTCCATAAGATGCTAATAAAACAAGATGCAAAACAAGTCTACAAAAAGCAACCTTCTCGACTTCACGTCTCCTACACTGATACCGTCATCGCCTTGGCAGCTCTTGACTAT